TCCTCTGATTAACAGCTTAAGCAGATGAAACTATTCAGCAACCCAGAAAGGTGAGCAATGCACAGAATTCATTAAGCAGAAAAAAAATTTACACATACATATTTTTTTAAAAAAATATATAAATATATATAATTGAATAAAGGACCAGTTTGAGGAGAGACAGAAAAATATGGGTTGGGATAATAACAGTTCAAAGTTTTCATTTTTTACAGCACTTCAACAAACAATAAAAGCCTTGAATAAATAGTTTCATAAGCTAATTTAAATAAAACGCAGTATTCTAAACAGCTACCCACACTCTATAACAGTCCAAAATAATATTGACACAGCATTTTACAAAGACCATTTTTACTATAAATCTCTTAATGTCATTATTCAACCTGTTCTTTTGACAGTGCTCTTTACACCGTGTTTTCAACAGTCGGTAATCAATGCATACATTCAATCCACATATATATATAAATACATTTTTTCATTGAAACATTTTTCTCAGCACAGTTAAAAGGAAGACTTAATTATATCCATGCTTCCTAAAGCAAAGGCATATAGACACTGTGGGTGGTTCTTGAAACCCTTCCCTCCCTCTTCTGGTGGTGGTCCCTAAGAATCTGGCAGCAGGAACAGCTCAATATACAGCTACAAATGCTGAGTCTGAAAACCATATATTCTCTGTGTTCCCACGGCACAAAGCTCAGCTACGGATGTCACCACAGACAAGCAACCACCACAATTACCGTGAAGCTTCCAGCTGAATGAGAAGCCATTGGAAAAGAGAAAACCATAGAGGAAAAGGGGGGAAAAAAAGTCAACAGATGGAGGAAAAAAAGGGAACTCATATTTACTGTGTTGCACAGAAGAAAAGATGCAGTTAATGATACCAGTGAATCAATTCACTAAAGAGGGCAGAGTTAAATACAGTTTGGAAAAATATCTAAATGGCTTTGAAAAGATGAATAAAAAGATTTTTAAAAATCTGTTTCTCCAGTATCTATTATACCTTTAGCATATCTTTTATGAGATACTACTTTTATCTCCTTTGTTCAGAAAAATTAAGTAAATCTAAACTTTTATAACTGAATAGTCTGAAAATCCAGATGTAAAAAAGTTTTTCATTATTTTCTAACAAACCTTTAATAATGTATTCTGTTTTGTTACAATATTATTTTAATGCCTCTACCAGAATAAAGTGTAGATTAAGACAAAACATACAAGTTTACAAGGAAAATATTAGAAGATACTAAGTAAGGTCCAAAGACATTTTTAATGTCTGATTACAACCTATTTTTCCTTCAGAAACCATTTTAACAAAATGAATTATCATCATTTTAGAGATAACAAATTGAAGTCAAAGCAATCTTACAGCCAGAAACATTAATTTTTTGGAGGCTGGGACAGAAGAACAGGTATGAGAGGCCTAAACTTTACTTCACAAAGTGCCTGGGGTTTGCACACTCAAAGGCCCAGAGCTCTCACTGATTCCAAGTACAAGCAAGCAAACTGTTCAGCAGAACACTCACACTGATCCACTGGATTTTTCTGATGCTCCTCTCTATAAAATGGGTGGGTTTGTAACACTCAGCTTGCCTGATCACCCAGGAATGAATTCTCCAAGGAAAAAAGAATTAAATTCTGTTCCCAAAGGCAGTATTCAGCTGTCTAAATTATAATACTTCCTGAAGTACCTTCATTTTTGATTTATCCTTTCAAGAACCAGGACTGTGATTTTTCACTACACACACCTGACATTAAAACATGCCCAGCCTGGCAGAAAGACAACAGTCTCTCAGACAATCGCTAAGTGTGTAAGGAAATTATGATTGTACAGCCAGTCTACAGCTCTGACACCTTCTAAACTTCAAGTATTCAACTTCAAATGGAGACAACTGCCAACTGCTTTAGAAGTAAAACCTTTAGGTACAGTATCTCAGATTTCCAAAACATGCTTGGAAATTAAACTCTCCTACGCCCACACCTCCTCTGTATTTTGAACTGATGGAACATCTGTTGACAGAGGAAGCTTGTTAAATTCTCAGTGATCCAGCATCAGAGAGAAAATTATTTTACTGAATGGGTTTCATGGATACTTAGTAGCACAGATGTGCTGTAGTTCTGTAATCTCAAGAGTTTAGTCTACTTGATGGAAAAGGGTGACACTTTTCCTCATTATGGCTGCTAACACTTCTACAGGCAAAACTCAAAAGTGGCACTAGACAGTCTGGTTAGTTGGTTTTTTAATAGCTCAAAGCTCTGTTAGAGCATGAACACAATATAGTGCACATTATATTTGAATAATGAATGAGTGGGTTTAGTCAAGCAAGAGAATAACCAAATTCACTCATTGGCTCAACTGAATAATCAGTGAACAGAGTATGATGATCTCTAGCAGTCAGACCCAAACCAGCACTGTCCTTCCCTGTCCATGATCCTTAGCAGTAAGAATCACTGCTGTCACGGGCATCCATTTTTTCAGGTCAGTTTCCTTTATGTCTGAACCTTTCCCTATCATCCCTCTGTTTTGTTCTAATTCTGCTTCTTCCTTTTTTTAATTTCCATGTTGCCATACCTAACTTTCTGCTTTGTATTCCTGTCCACAGTACAGCAACCCTGAACAGGTTTTCCTCAGTCCTTTATCTCACAATCCCCAGCTGCACCTGACCATCTCTTCACCTGCAACTTGTCATTCTGCCAGTACAAACTACTCTTCTTTTCAACTTCTGATTCAATTTGCTTCTCCAAATCCCTCCTCTGAACCACTTGGCCAGCAGGATATCTACTCACCATTCTTTCACAGATGCCTTGCACAATCTCTGTGCATACTCCACAAGCCACATGCTCTTCTCTCTCATCCTTTTATCATCTCCTACCTCACTTACTCTGTCCAGGTGTTCACATTTATTATGTCATGTTTTGGCTTTTGCCCAAATCTCTTTCATTCTGCCACATTGTTTATAGTCACCCTCCCCATCACGTTTAATGATTGCCAGATCTGTCATTTTCTTCCAAATTACTTGTTCAGACTCTCACCCCCTCCACTGGTTCTGTGTATCCACCTACCCCCACATCTCCTCAGGAGCCCACATTATTTTCTGCATTTAGCTCAGACAGCTCCCCTAGCTTTCCAACATACCAGGAGGGGAGAACACTCACAATACAAGAGGAACAACTGGACACTACAACACAAAGCTGTGTTACGGGAGAAAATGTGCCAAGTTCTGGATAGCTCACATTCATGTGAGGGACCAGATCTATTAAACTCTTAAGTTTGCAAGTCACTCAGTAAAATCTGGGCCAAATTTAAGCATATATATACAGACAAGCATATTCCAACACTCCAAAACCCACAAAATTTCACATCCCTCCTTGTATGTGTAAGAATAGTACCTACTTTAGTTTCTCTTAGTCCAACTTTTTTTTTGCCCAAGTTGAGTAAATGTAAGTTTTTTTAGCTTTTAACAAAAACGAAGCAAGCACAGCTTATTTCTGTTCTACTGTCAAAGGATGGTGCTTTTGTCAACATGTGAAAAGAAGGCCAACTGATGGGAATTATCATCACTGGTATTCAGATAGAACTCTATTACATTCACACTTCCAATAAATGCAGTTAACTAGCACATTCATGATCTCCAGCTTTGGCAAATCTACATAAAAACTGTCATCCCTTAAATCCTGGAATAATTGTGCGTAAATGCTTTTGAGGTTCTTCCATTTAATTTGTGCTCAAATGCCTTTCAAGTTAAAATGCATCCATCCTTCTCAGTGATTTTTAAAAATTTCCTCTACCTTTTCAGCAGGGCCTGCATGATACTGACAGTTAACTACTTAAAGATGGTTAAACTTGCTGGTGCTAACATTCATGTATCTATTGCTATCTCCCTTTATCTTTTGGACAGCTAGCAGAAAGCATTACTTAAAATAATGCTCTGAAATTTAAAAAAGCTTTATGAAAAACGGGCACATAGTAATAGTCCATATTTTTCTTACCTTTTGTTATTTTTGGAAATTGTTCTCATATGTTAACAAGTATTAAACAAGGGTAAAAAAGGTACTTTGATATGTCAGCGAATTTCTAAGATCCTGATACTGGGAGAAATCCGTGACAGCTGTTTAATTTTGAATCAAGCAAGTTCTGTGTATAACAAAATCTTACAGAATTTTATATTGATTTCCAATTCACTGCTTCACTGTCAAAAGATGCTGATACTAAAACCAGTAAATTCTATGCCAAGATCTTCTCTAGAATATCACACATTTCTCAAAAGTTCCTCGTTTACAGGTACAGTTAAGACAACAGCAAGAACAAATTAAAAACATTTTGCATTAAATAATTTTGATTTTAATTTGCAGAGTACATAACTGTTACATTTATCCCCCCTAAAACATGTATCACAGTTCCAATACCTGTAAGCTTTGAGACTAAAATTACATCCAAAAAAGCCTACTTCCTGAATAAGTGAAGAGCAACAAATGCTATTGAATGACATAACATGCTACATTAATTGCTCACACAATACTAATTCATAATCATACATAAACTATTATATACTTGTAAAAATCTCTTGCTGGTACATTTTAAAAGGTTGGACTTCAAGAACAGAAAAAAGCATTCTAAAAACATATTCAATTTCTATCAGTTTTGGAGTTTTACATATAAAAAGTTTTTGGAATAAAAAATGAAAGGTAACTTAAAATCTCCTGACACTGTCAGAATTTTTTTTTAAAGTGCAGAAAATAACATGTGAGTATTTTTATTATGATCATAATGGCAAAAGAGTACGGGAATTTTAAAATAAAACTTCTAGAGATTAATTTTTCAGGAGTGACTAAGGACTCAATCTTACTCTCTTGAAGCCATGCAGGTGATGCAGGACACACTAAAGAGGCAGGAATGAATGAAATCTGAAACTCTGGTACTGACATTTAGTTCTACCTCCAAAATACTCATATTAAAAATCAACAGAAAAAGAATTATCTTATTGGACAGAAAGTTATTTCTGCAGTACCTTCAGGGGTGATCGCACTAGGACACACATCTTTTAGCAGGTCTCCCAAAGTATGCAACTGTCCTCCTGAAGCAATTGGTCGAAATAGCTTCTGTATAAAAGGTCTCTCTGTTGTTGCCTGTTTTATTAAAAAAAAAAAAGAAGCCAACAAGTAATTTACAGACCATGCAAATAGGTAGTATTAGCAATTGAGACAGGTACACAATAGGACAGAACTAAAGGTTGCAGCAGAAGAAACATCGTGGTACTTCCACATTCCCCCTGCCCTGCACCTTGCATTTCATTAATATCATGAAATGCAGGAAGTTTTTGTTTATTAACAATTACAAGTAAACTGTTGCTCCAGAAAAACTGTAAAGATAATTTTTAGATAGTGTCATGGATACAAGTGTTAAATTTTTTTTTAAGCCCCAAATCTTCTGTTATGGGAGTACAATCTGCTTTAATAAAAAATATTTTAATATATCCTTAATTTTAAAAAAAGAGCAGCAAGCACAAACTTAGGAGTTCAACATATCCCTATGTATTTTGCCAAGCCAAAGCAATATAATACCCTTACAGCTCAACAACAGGTGATTTTTTTCTCCTTAGATTTTATATCAAAAATTTCAAGCTATTTCAGCTGCAAGAACCACTACCAACTTATTAAAAAACATGTGCTTTGACAGGCAACCTAAAATCTTCTACCTACTTAAGGAATCAGTCATATGCAGAGAACACATCTGGCCCACTTCTGCTGCAGACATGCAAAGGAATTCAGAATTATTTCAACTATGCATCTTTCCATTTAAAGCCTTGTCCTATCATCATATGCCTTTGTAAAAAGTCCCTCTCCAGCTCTCTTGTAGGCCACCTTCAGGTACTGGAAGATCTCTTTGGAGTATTGTTTTCTCTAGGCTGATCAAACAGAAGTCCTTATTCCCCATATCCACTAGCAAAGTTTCCAGGACAATTTACTCTATGACCTTTGTTGGGCACCAAAGTAAGACTGACTGGCCTGTAGTTCCACAGGTCTTCCTTATTTCCCCTTTTAAAAAAAACGGCGTTACGTCTCAGTAGGAACTTCACTGGACTGCCACAACTGCTCAAATATGATGGATGGTGGCTTAGTCACTTCAGGTGCCACTTTCATCTGTGGGGATGCCTCTCATCTAGTCCCATAGACTTGTGCACCTTCAGGTCCCTTAGGTGCTCTTGGACTTAATCTTCTAGAGTGGGCAGCTCTTCATTCTCTCAGTCTCTGCCTCTTCCCTTTTGGGACTTGGGCTGTCTGGCTGGAATACTTCCTGGTGAAGACTGAGGCAAAAAAAGACACTGAATACCTCCACATTCTGGGTAAACAGGTCTCCCATTTTTTCTGGAGAGGGCTCACAATTTTTCTAGTCTTCCTTTATCCCTGACATTCCTATAGAAGCTCCTCTTGTTGCCCTTAATGTCCGTGGCCAGATGTAATTCTATCAGATCTTTAGCACTTATTTAAGAACTGTGGTTATATTAAGGTAGCTCTCTTCTTTGGGTATCTGTAAAAGCAGCTCCAGGGGCAGCAAGAGTCTGACATTACAAAGACAGGCAAAGGTTCTTTTCCTGATAAACTGACATCTCCACCCAAACTCAGTACCTGAGCCAGAGAAGTTAAAAATCTTGTTTTCAACCAACCCAAACGCTATAACCTAGTTCCAAATTGTTGCTGACAATTTTCTGCTAACAGCTAACTCCCAAAGGAAGCTGATGTGCCCTGCATTGCGGGTGACTGGGCTCCAGCAAATGAGACTTTCATCACATATGATCTTAATTGAAACAAGCAACACAAGCCATTGCCCCTTTCAAATTTAGTTTCTTACCTCTCAGAAAGTGTCTCCCATCCTACTATGGTAATTAAAAAATAGAAACAACTCAACATCAAGAGGTATGTTATCCCTCAGTGGGGCTTTATGGGGAAAAAATAATCACTCAAACAAACAAATTAAGACCAACAATGCAACTGTCATTCACAGGCAGGTAGGGAGTCTTTGCCTAAGAGTGGTACCCTAGCTCAGAAGTAATTCTGGGGCAGTACAGTGCAGAACTGTTAACACACAGCTACTTGTTGCTTCTTGTTAATAGTCTTCAAATATGGAAAAATAGTCTTTTGCCAGTTTTTCTTATGAAGACTTATCAGAGGTAGTTTCCTAGCGGCTCTAGCCAATTCTCAATGCCTTCAGGGTAGCAATATGGGGAATACCATCAGTGCTAATGAAATATATCTGAACATTTAAAAAATGATAGGAGGCACACAGCCAGCAGGATCCATCTACCTCAGATCCACATTTGAAAAGTGAACTCTGGCACATTATGTTGAAGAAACATACATGCAAAACATAAAAAAAAAAAAAGGAAAAATTCCCTAAAACATTGTTTTAGTCAAAACAATTTTGTACCAAGTTTAGTTTTTAAAAATAATTGGATATGTGCTTAAATCTGAAGTAGCAGAAGTGGAAATAAACAGAAGTATGCAGGCAAAGATTGTTATTATCAACAGACTTTTAAGATAAGAATTTCCCAAGTGTGTACTGCAGTTGGTCATTATTTATTAATAATGAAGATCAATTTTCCCTAGTTATAATAATTTAATGCCAAGAGGGAAAAGCCAAAGTTGTATTTTCTCAGGTCTCCAAAATAGTTGCTGACTGCTGCAAACAATATCCTTAGTTCCTATCATAAAACATTATAGAAAATAGAAAATTAATTCAATTTTGCATCTTAAGTGTTAAGCAACACAGATGTGGTAAAGTAAATAAAAATCACTGGTGTTCATCAATGTTATAATGATAAAAGTAACTGCACATTGTTTATACAAAGACTGGCTCAAAAATCTAATCCTACAGGCAGAATATTACCCCAAGATGCTTATACACTTCTTCCCTCATCATGCAGCAGATGCTTTATGCATTAAAAGAATCAAAAGAAAAGTCTCATCCTACATTCCACAATATTTATAGGATAACTTTTCAAAGTATCTTAGTCATACAGGAGCATAGTTTTAGGAAAACTTTGCCATGACCTTTTTTCAAGTAGTAATATAAGACCAACTTGACTACAGCTTTCTACTCTAGTATTGCAAGTGTCCTGGCCAGGCTGGATGGAGCCTTGAGCATGGTTTAGTGCTAGATATCCCTGCCCATGGCAGGTGGGTCAGACTTGATGGCCTTTGAAAGGCCCCTTCCAACTCAAACTATTCTATGATTCCATTTATTATAATAAGATGTGAAGGAACAGTCTCTATGAATAGCTGCTTATATAATGTGGTGTTTTGTAAAATATTTGCTTAATCAGTCATGAAACAAAGTACTACCTGTAATCTAACCCATGAAGATATCACTATATAACTGATAATGATTTGAAATAATCCAAGCAAATATTCATACAATATCTATAATTTTGCCAGCTAAAATAGTAGCTTCAACAGAATGTAGCGCTTTTAAAATTATTTTATATTGCAGTGTAGCCTCCATGTAGCTGTTCAAGATTCTGGATGTATTTGCAGGATACAACAAGTGAAAGTCAAACAGTAATTGACAACCTCTACAGAGAAAATGCCTTCAAGCATACGAGCATATGAATACAATCACTCAGCCTAAAAATTACAGGGCATATTCACAATTTAGTATCAAATTACCGAATTTATAGTAAAGCAAATCTTCATCTCTAAATTAACATACTTTCCAGAAAGTTGGACTCAACTGCAACTGCAATTTCTCATTCTTCTCTATTTCTACATAGAACCATAAAACTCATGATTTGCAGAATAAACGAAGACTTGACTCTTATTAAAAGAAAGCTTAAACCCTGACAATGATAGGAGAGTTAGGGTGAAAAAAAATTGCACCACAGTGAGAAAGTTACCTATTCAGGTATACTAGCACTGAGAAGAGTCATAAGTGAGGGCAAGTTTTAAGAGGCCCTTTAAAGCAGTGCAAAGCCTCACAGGATCACAGACAAGCTATACAGTTACATACTATGCTAACAAATGTAACTCTTTCTTCCCTATCATCCTAGCAAAACAAGAAAAAAAAAGAAAAAAAGAGTTGTCAGCTTGCCTGGTCCTTTTCAGAATCAACACAACATCAAACACTGCATGAAATCCACAATTTAATTAGTCAGATATTTTATACAGGATGCATCTTAAAATGAAAAACATAACTCACAAACCACTGGGTTTTAATCTGGAAAAATCACAGTTTCCAGTATTTTCATCAAGAGGAAAGTCTTTGGATTTTCTGCCTAAACACTCGCTGCTCCTCAATATTCAAACAAATAAAAGTAACCATACATACAGAACCCACAAAGTAAAAAAAAAATAAATTAAAAAATCTTAAAATCCCCACATGTGCATAAGCTGGCAACCTAAAACAACAAAAGTTGAGACTTCCCTACAAATTCCATCATATTTTCAGTAATTTGTCAAATTCATACTCTGTGCTGCTTTGTAATGAACAACTTTACATTAAAAAAAGTTCTCCTAATTTCATAGAATCATTTTGTTTAAACTCAACCAAGAAACTTTAGAAGCAACAAGAGTTTGCACAATGATGCAGGTTATTTTACATAAAAAAGAAAGAACAGGAAAATTAACTAGACCCTGAAAATAAAATTATGCAAAATTATAAAATATCCTCAAAAATATTTTTCCATATCTTTTAGATGCCTTCTACTTTGTAGAAATGCTTTCAATTAAGAATCTCAATGCACAATGGAAAAGTGACTAACTGAATAGCTGATGAGCTGCTGTAGACACAGAACGATCACAAGACCATGTCTGTCCAAAAGCAAGGTACTGCAAATCCCCATCTGAAATACCGTTCTTTCACTGGTGCTGAAAAGCTGGGGTTTTGCTGGAATTTCAGGATGGGTATCTTTGACTTCTTTTTGCTTAATATTAGACCAGACTCATTGAATATTTAATTGTGGAGAAGGTACAACACTATTTCTCAGTGGGAGTTGACAGGTTTTTGTTGTTTTGTTTCTTGCTTTTTAAAGAATCTTCCATCTCGTTCAAAAAGGTGATTTTCAGCTCAACAAGCTAAAGTACACAAGAAAATGATTTTGTTTTATCTATTTGAAATCTGTCACCTTTCAAACTTCATTAATATTTTT